TGCGTCGGCGACACGAACCGCGCTCGACTACGTGGGAGTCCAGCGACATAGCCATTACGCTAACTGCTGGTTCCCCTCTGTGGTCAAATTAAGAAATATAAATAAATAAAGTTAAATAAAATAATTCTTAAAAAAAAAACTTGAATTGTAGCAAACCACTACCACAACAGAAGACATTTTTCCCAAAGAAGCAACTCATCTAAGGACAGAACTCTGCCATATGACACAACTGCTGTCTGTTGTCACAATCCATACAACTTCCGTTCTGAAGCATCTGCCTTGAGCTACTTCTCAGCATCAGGTCTCTCCAGGAAGGAGAGGTGGGGACTGTTGACATCTCAATGGCAAGGGGTGTCAACCTTCAGGTAAATTCAAGCCTAGTCTAGGGAACCAGCAGTTAGCATAACGGCTAGGTAGCTGGATTCCCATGTAGTCGACTGCAGTTTACGTCCTGGAACCGGTGTCTTAAAACTCACGCCGGGCACGTGTGCGTGCGTGCCCAAGATCCCAAGAGGAGAATGGAGAAGAAGGGATTGTGGTGTGACCATCCCTCTGGGAGGTGATTTCTCGCTTTCTGTCTCTATGTCTCTCTCTGTCTGTCTGGCGAGGTCTGGCGACCGCCCGCCCCCTATAGCGAAAAACCTCTCAAAAAAAAAAAAAATTCAAGCCTAGTCTTAGGAGGTAACTCACAACTTCTAAAGAAAGATGTGTTTTTTCCTTTTTGGCTTTTTTTTTTTTTTTTTTTTTTCTCTCAGCTTCAGAATCTCAGGGTCTACTTGTGGTCAGTGTATCCTGCCACAGAAGAACGGTAAGATGAGCCACACAATGGACTGCACATATGGAAAAACATCGCGAACATGGGTTAGAGTGAGTGGACGCAGTCACACAGCCTGGGGAGGTGCGATGTGGCACAGAGGGCGGGACACAGCTACAGCTGGGAGCAGGGGCACGGGGAGAACACACTGGGTGGTGAGTCAGAGAGGAGGGCGGATGTGACCCAGGTTTCTGCTATCTGGGGCCCAGCAGGCTCCTATGTGGCTTTGCTACTGCAGCATCACAATGCTCTGAAGCCATACCCACTGGCACGTCAGGGGGGCTCATTACATGGGGGCAGCAGAGGAACAGAGCACACACATCCCTTTGTTCGTTTATTCCACATTGCTTGCCTGCCATGTGCTGGGGACACAGTCAAAAGATGAATGAAGTCATAATTTCTTCGTTGTCACAGAGCTGGGGACTGAGACAGGAGTGGGGTATTCATCAAATCACCTGAGGGATGAACTCGCCAGCCATAGGTCCCGCTGAAATGTACGCAACTGTGACTGCAGCAAGTCCCTGACTATGCTCTTGAGTTCTCCTTAACAAAGGAAACGACACTGGGGAGGCCTGGCTTCTTTCTCATAAACCAAAAATGACTCCTAGATACCTCTTCCTTTTTTCACTTCGCCAGAAAACACACGAGCACTCACAGATGACTGGAAAAACGAGAAAGCGCCCCCTCCCTGATGGAGGATGGTCACGCCGCAACCCTTCTCCATTTTCCATTTCAGGATTTTGGGCAAGGGTACACAGGCACACCCACACACGCATGCTCAGAATGCTTTTTAGCTGTCAGGCCAGGTCTCCAACTTGGCCGTGTGTCATGTGGGATCCAGCCTCCCCAGCCACCATGCCACCACGCCAGCAGCAGGCCCACTCTCTTTTCCAAGGGTCCCCAACTCAGAATTTTGCCAGAGCCTGAACTCCATCTGGGCGGTGCGTGTACACGAGGAACAAACCTTCGTTAGAACCTGGCTACCTACAAGTCCTTGTCCAAACTTTGAGCATCCAGGGTCCCGTGATAGTCTCCAGGGGTCCCGATGCACATGAGGGGCCTAGCAGGCAAGGGCGAGCAGGTTTCCGTATGGAGTCAGAGGCGGGGTGGGCCAGCGCTCCCAGCCAACCACAGCCCAGTCCCCACGTTGCCCAGAGGAAGTCACGTGGCCGCAGTGGGCACAGGGTCGGAGGGGTGGGTGGGGTAGGGGGGCGGCACTCGTCGGGGGCGGGGCTTCGGACCCAGCGAGCGTCTGGATTGGCTCTCAGGGCTGCCTCTGAGGCTGCGCGCTGAGGCCTGGCGTTCTGCGCCTTCCTGCCGCCTTTCCCGGGTGTGGCTCTGGCGGGAGTTGGCGGCGGGTGTGAGGTGAGACCCGTGGGGTTACTCCTGGGCCGGGCAGGTGGGACCGGGTCGTGGGTCATCCAGGGACCCTCTTGCCGTGGGAGCCAGGCTCCCGGGCGTGCGGGGCCGTTCTCCGGGCGAGTGTGGGGAGCAGCGATGTGGGGTGGCTCTGAGCCCGCGGGCGTCGCCCTGGGCCTTCCAGTACCGTGGACCCAGAAGGGTCTCCGTGGGACGTTCCGCCCAGTCTGGGCCGCGTCTGTGGGCCCCCGCCGGAGGTGGAGTGCAGGCCGGGCCTGAGGGGCCATGGGGGAAGAGGTCACGGCCTCGCCGAGCCTCCGCAGGCGTTTTCTCGTGGTTCTTGGGGGCACGGACTTTGCAGCCAGGGGAGCGCGCTTGCGTTTATCCCGTGCTCGGAGCTGCACGCTGGGGTGTGCGCGGGGCCGCATCGCGTGTACTCAGTGCGGGAGACGGGAGGGCTCGTATATATAAAATAAAGGATAGAAGTTTATGTATAAATAAATATGTATATATAATAAATATGTAATATATATATTTTAACAATATATAATTATATATAATAAACATGATATATTGTATATTTATTATAATATGTAATTATTATATATTGTATGCACTGACAGGGTCATATGTCTATCTGGGATTCCCCCTCTGGGTGGACAGTACTGTAAGGCCGAGGACAATGCAGAGCGGCCTCTCCCAAGCCACTGCTCACCATATCATTTCTCCCCTACACATCCCCACCTCTCATCTGAGGTCCTGTTCAGCCACTTTCTACCCCCTACCCCAAGGACGACAGGGCTTTATCCGCTCCATCATCATAGAGATGTGGGCTGACTATTAGGTAGAGAAAGCTGGGGGGCCAGAACACAGAAATGTCACACAGACCTATGCCCAAAGGTGCCCTTCTGCTTGGGGGCAGGCAGACTTTCCTACAATCAATTTCCTCTCATGTAACATTCTCCTCACTTGGTATCTCCTCAGCTCCCTTTCTGCCACAGTACTCCCCTAAACTATTATATATATCCTCCACAAAACAGTACTAAGCCCCTTTTGACCCAAAAACGGGTTCTAAAAGTCCCTCTCACCACGTTCCTGGTGAGCAGGCTGTTCTGACTGTCTGACTTCCCCAGTCCTGCCACACTACGAGCATGCTCACTTCCCAGCCACTCACCCCTGCATCCATGGCGCTAAGTCCACAAGGCCTCTGGGACACCCTCTAGGTTATCCCTCTCCTCCCTAGGTTTCCCAGCACACATTTCTGGTCAAGGAGCCTTCTGAAACCCTCTTGCTGGGCTCAGGTTTCACCTCCTCACCTCTGAAAGCATCTGGAAGGCCAGGGCTGCAAACAACTCATTCGTGGTGTGGCCTGCATGGAGGAGGGACCCAGGAAGAGCTGGATGACTGGCTCTAACTTCCTCTTGGAGAATTCCTCCCTCCTTTGCAGTTAGCATCGTTCACAACCAGGATCAGGATTCCTGCACTGTAGACTCTGGGAGGCTCATCCCACATGTGCTCCCTGTTGTGAGAACGTTCTCAGTCGCATTCACAGACACTTGGCACGGACAGGCTCTAAACCAAGGCTGGGGTTTGGCAGCTCTCACCTGCCCAGCCCAGGGGCAGCCCCCACTGGGGGGGAGGGGCTTGCTCTGGATAGAGGATGCCTGCTCCCCAGAATCAGACCACCTCTAACCTCAAAATGTAACCCACTTGATAGGTACTAGCTTTACTGGGGCAGAAGTAAGCCAGGGCAAGGGGTAACTCCCATCTGCCAGTCAAGTCTGTTTCTCAGTTCATATGATTAAGGGGTCAGTTTTGAGATATTTCTAGCACTCAAGTCGCCAAAAAGGAGCTGCCAGTTAGCAGCTCCTACCAGGATGCCCTCTCCTCTCAGAACACCTTGAGCAGAGGTTGCAAGCATCCCAAGAGCCAAATGTGTTTTATATAAATATATATAGTATTTTTATATATCATATATTTATGTGTATCATATATTTTCATATACATATTTATTATATATATAATGAGCATCTTTGGGCATAGGT